ATTCAGATTCTCTGCTCCCCCGTTTCCATGGGGTGTCTGAGTAGCCCTGAGGACAGGGGAAGTGGCCACGTCTAAGTGACTGACCAGACCTCCCTGCATCTTGTTCCAAAGCGTTCCTAAATTCACCTCATTAGTTGCTTGTCTGGGTGGAACTGTAAGGTCCCCTGCAGTAGGTGTGACCTTGGCAGTGGCCCCGGGAAGCATTGTGTAGCAGACCTCCGTCTCCCCTGGAAAAGCTTTCCCGGCACAGGGCGGGCCCAGGGGTCTGGGGCAAGCCTGGATTTTGGGGTGTACTTGCTACACTCTCCGTAGTGCCCTCTGGCATCTCATAAACCATAAAGTGTGACACTTGCCGAGCGGGAGGGGTCAGGTTCCCGCCCACGTCACACAGATCTGCTCTTCAAGACCTCCTCAGTGATGGAAAAGAAGCCCGAAACCGGGAGGAAATGGAGAAAGTGTTTCCACACCTAGGCTATCCAGCTGTGCTCAGCCCCTCGCTAAACAAAGTTTAGGACCTCAGAGGGCTTCTGAAAGAATCCTCCACCCATCAGCAGACCAGACCACTCGGGGTGCAGGGCCGCTTCTATTCCCCAAGCCAGTGCACCCCGATCTCAGTCCCTGGACGAGCTCACGAGTGGAGATTCAAGGCAGCACCTGAGCCAGGCCCAGGCGGGCACACTGTCTCCCACCACGTCAGGGAATAATGGGCCGAAGGCCACAGTGACCTGCACGTGCTGCTGCCCCTGGACACTGTCTTTCTGGTCACCTTGCACAACACAGCCCAGGGTCTCCTCAGCTATGCTCAGGAGAACAGAAATTAAAACAAGGGACACTGGTGGCTCTCCTGGAAATGCCACTGTGGTTACTGTCTCCTTACTAAAATAAACCCTTTCCCTCCCTCCCCGCCCCTCCCTCTTCCTCCCCACCCCTTTCCCCTTCCCTGGCCCTCCCCCTCCCTCCCTCTGGGATATTTACCTTGACAGCTGATGCAGCTGCGTATTTCCATTCAATCAGGCAGAAACACAATGGCCCATTTAAAACACCTTCACCACAACTAACTGATTATCACCTGTAAGCAGGGGGCCGCTTTGGCGGCTATTTTAGGGTCAGGGCTTGTGTCCTACTGGGGCCCCTTCCCCCACGATGGCCTGAGACAACGCCCAGCTCAGGGTTGCCATTGTGTCTCTTCATGGAAACGGGAATCAAATCCATTGGTCCTCCTCCTGAACAGGATTCCGCAGCCCGGAACACCTGCACTGAGAATCCGGTAACACGTCCTGCCTGGCACTGAGCTAAACCACTTCAATCCTGCAGGAGCGGGTTCCCTGCAGGACACAGCAGCCGCAGGAAAGCCAACAACCCAACCAGCAACGGGCTAACAGCTCGGGTCTTGCAGCAGCTTGTAATTAGTGTTGGTTAGCATTTCATTCACTAACAAGCGTTTGTGGGTCCCCTTACGGGCATGGAGCACTGAGCACAGCCAGGGACAGGGCCAGCCTCCACTCAAGTGTCCACTCTGGAAGGGACACGCCTCCCTCGCTAGCTTGGGGACTGCGTGGGTGCCACAGTCCACCGCGGGGATTCTCATCACTTCAGAATTCAGGTTCCGGGTTCGGGCACACACAGCCCCGCAGAGCCGTGCTGCACACCCGGCCTCAGGAGGGAAGCAGGGACACCCAGTCCCCCGCTCTCTGGGCTAAGGAAGGCCAGCCTCTCCTCCTTCTAGAGTCCCCACAGTGCTGGGGACGTAGGGCAACGGTGGCCACCAGCCAATGGAAGGCAGCCTGCCTGCTGTACTTGGCAATGCTCCTGAGGTCCTAGCTTTAAAGTGAAGTCTTGGTGAAAACAGAGGGTGGGGGTTGGGGACCCAGAGTGGGGACTGCGCTTAAGGTCACCGTGGGGTAGGGGTGGACCTGGAAAGGCATCACTTAGAAGTGGCCAGGCTGGCCAGGGATGTAGCTCAGCAGCATAAGCACCTGCCTGGCAAGTGCAAGGTCCTGAATTTGACCTCAGGTACAAAACAAATCAGAAACGGAGGGGCCAGAGAAGTCACCGGAGAGCAGCATTGGCGATTCAATCCCCAGCACCAAACAGAAAAAGCAGGAGGCTTTGCAAGGGGGCGCACAGAGCTTTCCAGCTGGGAGGTGCAAGCTGGACGGAAGGGCAAGGTTGTGCAGTGGGCAGTGTGGACCCTCACCGTAAACAGCAAACTGCCAGCTCCAGGCTGGGGACACAGGCCACAGAACACGGCTGCAGGACCAGGCAGGCCGGATCCAAAGGGCAGTGGGGTGTGCCAGAGACCTCCAAGGCCTTTCTGTGCTGCCCCTTAGCCCCAAGGGAAGTGAGAGAGAAGTGTCCCTGAGGCCCCTGAGCTTCCGGAGCACACTGTGAGACACGGTAAGGCGTGGGCAGAGACCCAAAGCAGAGCACGCGGCCCGGGCCCTGTGCTGTGCTCAGGCCTGGTCAGGGGAGCTGGGTTACGCCAGGTGAGAACACAGTGTGCGGGACCTCACAGGACACCAGCAAGGACGATTTCTGGCTCTCACCGAAGCCTTCTTGTGGAGGCTGTGCAGACCGGAGATGAATCCTGCACCTCTGGTGCTGCCGTCCCTTCTGCAGAGATGGCCCTGCTCGAGAGCTGCACACTTGTGTCCCCAGCTGGTGCCCAGCACCACAGATGGACACATATATAAAGACAACATCAGGGGAAAAAAACTCAGGTGTGGTGCCGCACTCCTGTAATGCCAGCACTCGGGAGGCTGAGACAGGATCATTGCTAGTTCAAGACCAGCCTGGGCTGCATGGCTGGTCCAGCTGGACTGCCCCCAGCCCAGTGCCTGACAGGGCACACACAGTGGGGGCCGCGTGTGTCCTGCTCTCTGGAGAGCATCTCTCAAAGCTGCTGCTTTGGAAATGCAGGAGGCACCCTCGACACCCCCGCCCCCTGGTGGCCACAGCCAGTCCTGTTGCTGGCTCTTTCCACAGCCAGGAGGTGCATGGTGGCAGGTGTGGTGCTGAGGGGTGCTGCTCAGGGGTAGGGAACCTGCAGCCCTGTCCAGGTGTGCACGGCAGGGGGGCTCTCCTGCACTGCACAGCGCTTTTCACGGCAGGTGGAGTGCCAGCCCCCCAGCTCGGCACCGACCTCCCCCTTTGCATGGCACCTTGGGCGGGGCGGGCCTCTGGCATCCCTGGTCCCTGTGTACTCCAGCCTGTATCCCCACTCCAGCAGCCTCAGCCCTGCGCCCCTGCCTGGCCCCAGTGCCCCCCACCATGCCTGCCTTGCCTCTTCACACCCCTGCCCCTGAGGGCAGCAGGCCGGGAAGTGGGGCGGGTGTGCCTCCTGGGCTGAGCTGCCATCAGGCCTTGCACGCTGCTCACCCACTGGCTGGCAGAGCCTGCCTCTCCCTGAACTCATCCCAGCTGGGGTCCCCCGTCTTCTCGGCCCCTGCTCCCTGCCCCCATTTTGCACAGTTTGCCCTTCACTCCCAGGGCTCAGTCCTGGTCCCTGCAGAAGGGCAGCTGGGACATCCCTGGGGGTCTGCACTCACTGTCACCCACGTCCGCGTGGGAAGAGGCCTGGAGGGGAACGAACAGAGGCCCAGCTCTGCCCCCGTAGCCCTCCCACTCCATGTCCTGGCTCGGCCACGGTGTTTCAGGCCATGAGGGGGCACTCTTCATCCAGGGGATGTGGTACCCCCCCTAAAATCCTGCCCCACTGGAGCCTTCTGTGCTCTGTGGTCACACTGTCACTGGACTCTGCTCTCAGGAGCAGCTGGTGAGGAGGGAGATGGCGACCGTGTGGCCCAGGGAGACCAGGCCAGCAGGAAAGCCAGCAGCAGAGGTCCTGGTTCCTTGGACTGTGCAGCTGCCAACTCCTCCAATAGACGGGCTCCAAGCAGCCAAGTGCCAGGACAGGGCGGAGATCTGAAACCATCTGCGGGTCGCCCGGACACTCTGGACTCTCAACGGTCTGTCGAATCCAAGTCAGGTCACCACTGACCTCTGCTTCTGGGGATGGTGTATTCGCCATCCAACGCAGAGCCCGAGGGCCCGACCTCCTGCCCCACGCACTGAACCCTCTGGGCTAAGAGAGCCCACACCCAAACCTCCTGACCCAGGAAGCCCTTGTGAACTGGCCAAGTCCTGCCGCACCAGGCCTGTGGTCACCAGCACAGTCCTCTTGCCCAGCTGTCCCCACCGAGGCTCGAGCCTGGTGGCTTGCTGGCTGCTCCACCATCATCTCCAGGCCACCACCGCCCTGCCCAGGCCTGCTGGGCTGCTCCCTGACAGCACCCTGGAACCCAAGCTTGCCCCAGGCTCCTTGGGATCTGTCTCCCCATGCGATCTGAGCTCCAGGAGGCTGGACACACCCACCGCCACCTCCACCGTGCCCTGCACAGTTCTGTCAGGTGTCCACCGGACAAGGCCCTGAGGAGAGATGTTTGAGGGGGCCTCCGGGCCACCGCACCACTTGCCTCTGAACCCCACTTAGCTTTACTAGGCTAAGTGACCCAGGACAGGCCTCCCAGGACACACAGGGTGGACGCTCACTGAAGCAGAAGCCCGTTCATTCCAGATCCCAGGCGAGGCTCAGCCGAGGACGGAAAGCAGCTCCACTGCAGGAAGATGTCTCCAGGCGGCTCCCATCTCAGTGACCGAGTCGTCCCTTCCCCGAGGGGTCAGGATGTGACCCCAGATCCCCGCCACAGCTGGGTCCACGGGACTGAGGGCATCCCGGGAGAGGTAGACACAGGCCCCACTGAACCTCTGCCAACCTCCTCCTCCCTCCCCCACCCCTTCCCCCTGCGTTCCCAGCAGGGCTTGCAGGTGGGAGGGGACACACACGGGGTGGGGGTGGGCAGTCTCGGGGAAGCCTGCGTGTGGGTGAAACTGCACAACTCTGCCTCGTCCAGACCCAGCACAGGCCTGAAACCCTGGATGGTGCACCCACAAGGGCCCCTGCCGTCCCGTTGCAAATTCCAGCACACACACTCCACAGATGGCAGGGCAGGTGTCTTTATTACAGAAGCAAGCAAGCACAGGGTGCCACGTGAGGTGCCCAGTCACATCCACACGGTACTAAAAATAGAAAAATAGAAAGGAAATTTCACAGAAAGCAGCCTCCCTCCCAGACACAGAAAAGGTGCCCCGGCCTCGGCCCAGCCTGGCTTCTCCTCAGATGGAGACTCAGCTCCTACCTGCACCTGCTTCACAGCCAGGGTCCCCCACAGGCGGCCTGCCCCGCCCGGATGGCGCCCGTCAGCAGCACCTCCCGCCTGGCCAGTTCCCCATCCTCCTCCAGCCAAACTCGGGCCAGAAAGGAAGCAAGTGGCAGGCAGCACAGCCGTGACCACTGCGCCAGGCATGGTGGACGGGGGCCTCAACTTGCAAAAGGAGTCTCGACGGACAGCGTCAGGCACGGGAGCAAACTCAGAAGCAAGGACCGGGACTTACAGAGCTGCTGTGCTACGCATAAGCCTTTCTCGCTGAAGTGTGCCACTGCTTCAGGGGACAACAGGAAGCCTGCGGGACCTGACTCCAGGCCGGGCGTCCGGGTGTCCATGCAGCAGCCTTTCCACTGTCTGCTTTTGGAGGCTCTGCCAGCAGGGGACCCTCGTGTGCAGGTAGAAGCTCCGGAGCGCCCCCTGCCGGAAGCCACAAGGACTGGACTCCAGCAGCAACACCCCTTCCAGCTCCCCGCACCCCACCCACCTCATCCCAGTTCTCACGGGGACCTGGAACCAAGGGGCAGCGCCAGGTGAGGCCTCAGGTGACTGACTGCCCAAAGAGGCACGGAGCTTCGCCCCAGGCGGTGGCTCACTCGTGCTGCCCCTCGGAACAGAACTTTTATTTGGTTTACTGATATTTATTTAGATTTCCATGAAAAGCTCTAGAAAATACAGTAAGTAGACGAGGTTGCCCAGGGCAGAGGCCAGAGCTGTCTGCGGAGGGCGCGACTCCCCATGGAGGCTGTATTTATAAGGTTGGTGTCAGACACGTGGAGACTTCGAACACTACGGGCGGGCGGGTGGGTGAGCCGCAGCGGCGGGCGGGAGCGGCACCCTCGGGCTCTCCGCGGGGTCCGCCCCGGCAGCTTCCGCGCTGCTCCAGGGTGTCCAGCCGGGAATAAACGAATGCATACAGGACGTTAGCGAGGAGGAGCGACGGGCCGCATGCAAGTTCCCACCTCCGTCATTATAAATAAAAGTCAAACGTGAGGTCGCACTTCCCCATCTTCTGTTTGTACACTAAGTCGAACTTCTCGTTCATGGAGACGGTGAAGATGTCCTTCCACAGCCCGACGCGCCCTGCAACACACCAGGGCCCACGCTGCAGCCATGGCCGCCGGGCTTGGAGGCGACCCAGGGCCCCGGGAGCTCTGGAAACTGCCACACCAGCCGCAGCCACGCCCCACAAGTGGGAGACCGGTGGGAGGGGCTCCCTGCGGTCCACGACAGAATCCCAGCAAGGGAGGGGCCTGCACAGCACTGCGGGCCGGGTGCTCGCCAGGCAGCACCTGAGCTATGGCTGCACATGGGCCAAGGCCCAGGACATGGACACGAAGACTTTTGCTCAACAGCCACCGAGGTGTCACTTGCCTCGGGGAATCTGAAAAAGAAAAATCAACCCCAGGACAGAAAATATCATGGCAAATGGAGAGGCAAAGACTTCAGCCTGAGCTCAAAATCCCCAGGCAAATTCAGTGCCCAGAACACTTAGGCCTGAGCAGGCGCTCTAAACTGGACGCAAAATGTGCCCTTAGCGACAACTCCCCGGCAGGCTCCGCAAGAGCAGACCGCAGGTGCAGGTGCAGGTGCAGGTGCAGGTGCAGGTGCAGGTGCTGGGCTATGGTGGCTTAGGAGGCCTTGGAGGGGAAAAAGGAGAGGCAAAAATGGCACCGGGACTGGGCATGCTGGTGCACACCTGTCATTCCAGCACTCTGGGAGGCAGAGCAGGATCCAAGTTTAACTCAAGCAACTTGGGAAGACTCTGCCTCAAAATAAAAATATAAAAACGCTTTGGATTCAACTCCAGGACCCAAAACAAAAGCCACCACCTGAAGATGTGGACCTGTCTTCTTTGTTAACTACAAAACCCCAGAGGGCCAGGTCCGAGCGCAATGGTGACGCGGGGCTTCCCACTTCCGGTCAGCCCTGCTCTGAGTTCCTCCGTGTCCGCCCCTCAGACTTCTCTCCACTGTCTGGCTGTGGCATAGCTCAGTGGTAGAGCGTTTGCCTAGTGTGCACCAGGCCTGGCGTTGCACCCCTAGTGCTGCCAACAACAAAAAAGGTACATTTACAAACCCTAGAAGCTCCTCAAGCTGGAGCTCCCACCCTGTTTCCTCTGACTTCCTAATGGTCCAATAAATCTGCTAATATGTTGCAAAACAAAACAAAACACAAACATAAACCCCACATTCATGCCTGGCAGCACCTCCGCTCCAAGCCTCGACATCTCCAGCCAGCGGGCGCCGGGCTGCCCGTCCTGGGAGCACCGGGCAGGGACGGGAAGGGAAAGAGCAAACGCTTCCTGCCACCCTCTAAGGGAGCCATGGGACAGGACCAGAGCTTCCAGGGAGGCACTTTGGTGACGTCCTGCAGCAGAGGCGGCCGGGCAGGGGAAGGAGGCACCCACCTGACAGAGGATTTGGACTCAGACAATGAACCGAGGGCAGGCAGTGCGGGCGGCCACCCGACCCTGCCCCTCTCAGCCCAGGGAGCTCTTCTGAGCACACAGGCAATGTGCTAAAAGGAAACAAAACCACAGAACTGAAATAAACAAAACCAAGGCAGACGATGGCAACACACAGGGGGGGGGGGCGCACATGGGGGGCGCTCCGGAGGGCAGACGCGAGGACGAGATGGGGCAAACGCCAAAGGAAAAACACAGACCGTAAATAATAGTGAACGCTGCTGAAGATGAGACAGAAAAGAACCCCCAAGGCATCCTGGCTTGGTTAACTTCCTCCTGCAGGAGGCCCCTGCATGTGACCTCACCTGTGGATAGCGTGGGCTGCCCCTGGGACGTGGACTGGCACGATGGCTGGGGGCCCAGCTCCGCCTCCCGCCGGGCACAGGCAGCAGAAGAGAGAGCCGCAGTTCCAGCCCCTCCTTTGACCTCACCCCGGGAACTGCCGCAGTTCCAGCCCCTCCTTTGACCTCACCCCAGGAACTGCCCACGCTCCTGGGGACCCGCTTCACGTCTGCACCGCACTGCTAATGCGAGTCACACGTTCCAAAGCTCTGTGGCCGCAGCTGTGGCCACAGCCACCATCCTGGAGACTTTAGTGCCCGGCTCCCTGCCAGTGGGCAGCATGGGATGCCACGTGCCCCTTAGGAGGTGGACAGCGAGAGAAGGAGAGAGGACCCTGGCCTGGAACCCTTTCCCTCTCTAACTGTGCACACCCACCGGCTGCTACAGGCCCCCAGGGTCCCTGCCTCCTTCCCGTGGGGCCAGTCGGGAGCTCCCTGCCCTGTTCCTACCCGCTCATCTGCCCCAGGCTGGCTCCTTCCCCGGCTGTGCAGCACACCAGAAGACAGCTCCTCCGGGAAAGCGAGGGGCCAGCGCCCCGCCCCGGGAGCAGCACGTCTGCTGCCACCACCACTCCTACCTCAGCCAGGAAGCTGCCCACCGAAACCCACGTCAGGCCTCACACGCTGGAACCCAGGGTGTCAAAGCTACCCCTGGCTGTACCCTGAGGACGCTGACCTTGGCCACTTCAGGTCCCTACTGGGAACTTGGCTCCAGCAGCCGCCCCTGGAGCGGCAACGCTGATCTCACTGAACGCTGGATACTAAGTGCCAGCGGGCGTGGGCTGGCTGGTGATCACCACGTCCCCGCCAAGCAGAGGGCACAGGCTAGCCAAATGCTGTGGTGAAGGGGAGAGAATGCCCAGAAGGCCTGAAGGTCCAATGGGGAAGGAAGCAGGCGCAGGCACGGCGGTCAGGTGGGCAGGGGCACTTACCCCGGCCCACAGGCAGGGCCTCGGCATTGCAGCACTGGTCCACTAGCTGGTGGCAGTGCTCGGTCAGGGACTCCAGCTGGGCCTTGTCACAGGACACACCCAGGAATCTGGCCAGCTGCTCCACCATGGTCACTAGGTCCTGGAAGACAAGAGCGGAGCACAAAGCAGCCGTCAGAAGCTGGGACAGGGCAGGCTGCCCGCCCTGAGCCGGCCAGCCCTTCCTTGCTGCGGGTTCCCAGAAGCCGCTTCCGCTCTCGGAGACCAATGGCAAAGGAGCAGACAAAGCCTCTGAGCAGGTCCCTGGTAAAGAGCCTGCTTCATGCACACAGCAGTGCCCACACCTAAAGGACACACGTTCCGGGAAGGCCGGAGGGCTGGCTCCGCTCTGGGTTCTCACAGGACCCATGTAACCCGAGATGGCCCCCACCTCTAATCCCATCCCTTGCAAGGCTAGGCAAGGATCACTCTTGAGCTCGAGGCCACCTCAACTGTGAGGATTCGTTTTTGCTTTTGTTTTGTCTTTTTTAAGACAAGATAGTGCGATGCAGTTCAGGCTGGCCTTGGTTGGGCTGTGTAGCCCAGGTTGGTCTTGAATTTTCAGCAATCCTCTGGCCTCAGCTTCCTGAGTGCTGGGATTACAGGAGTGCACCACCACACCCGGGTTGAACTGTGAGTTCTAACCCACCTGAACTGCACAGTGACAGACAGAGGAACAACGCAGAAGGGGAGGACACACGAGGCCCTGTTTTAAGAATGGGGAGGCCATGGGTCCTCCACCAACAGGCCTGGCCCAGCTGAGGCCCTGCACGTCAGCAGCCGTCCAAGACGCTGGGTGTTCACACATGAGCCTGCTGGGCCTGCACTGCCAGGGGCGGCGTGCTGACCTGGTGCAGGACAGTGATGGCAGCACATCAGTGTCCCCATGCGCGTGGCAAGCCCTAGGACCCCCCAGCCTCACAGCACAAAGGCCCTGCATCCTGCAAGCTCAGCCAGACACTTGCAGCACCAGTCAGTGCCACAGGGCACCCTTGAAGGCGGAGACCTGTGCTGGAGCAAAGGGATGGAGCGAGGGGCCGGATGCAGCTGTCCCGGTCAGGCAGGAAGGCACCAGCTCTCCCTGCCCGGCCCCGAAGAGCCGCTGCCCCCTCGGCCCGCACTCACCCGGTGCAGGTCCTCGTACTTGAGGAAGAGCACGTTGGCATCCGTGCGATGCTCCCAGAACTCCTGCACGTGCTCAAACCAGGAGCCGTAGCCCACTGCAGAGACAGGGGGTGAGATGGCCACACGGGGACACCCAGGCACCAGAAGAGCGCCCTCTGCCCAGGATGGGGGGCACTGCAGCAGGGAGGAGGGGACAGCCTGGTGCAGACCAGGGAGGGGCAGGCTCCTGGCTGGGTGCATGAGCCCAATCCGAGCCCCTCGTCGCTGGTGCACTAAGCACACATCTCCTGCCTGTGCCTGACTAGCCTCCAAGGACACGATACCCACAGTGCTGGGAGGGGACCTCAACAGGACCCAGCAAGGAGCTGGGCAGGAAGACAGTGACTCGGGGTAGGGGTGAGGGCAGGAGGGGTGAAGGCTCCGACAGCCGGGGCCACTGGAGGAGCGAGGTGGGCCTGCTGCATGTGGGTGTGCAGCACCAGCTCTGGAGACACCAGGGCTCTGGGTCCCCTCTGGACCCGGCATGTGTGCAGAAGGTGGTGACCAAGTCCTTCCACCATACCCACACTGCTCTGCAGGCCCCCTCTGCAGCCTGCGGCAGGCACAGTTCACCACAGAGCCGGCCTGGGGGCACATCCCCCACACTGCACAGGCCTCAGGGACCCTGCCCGGAGTACCCCACCCTGTATGTCAGCAGTCTGGGCACCCTGGCCCTCAACCCTGGAGAGGGTCTCTCGCATCCACACTGCCCGGCCCCTACCCCATCAGTGCTCTCCAGGTGTCAGCTCCTAGGTCCTCAGGACCCCGGGTAAGAGATGAGGCCTCTGTGATCCCAGGACCAGGCACAAGCTGGGGTCCGAGTGGCTCAATGTTAGTGGAGCACAGGAAGGACCTGGAACTGGCCCCTGGGGGGACCAGCCAACGTGTGTGGTGCCCTTGGCAAGCAGGGGGCAGGGTTCTGTGATGCGCTGAGCCCAGGAAGGAAGGGAGAGCCCAGCTGGGGCGCACTTAAGACCCAAGAGGGGCAGGGAGCAGCATGCCAGGCTCTAAGGACCAGCGCCCCCAGCCCGGCGCCCTCCTCTGAAGGTCAGCAGGGCCTGCCCCCTGGGAGCACTCACGCTTGTCATGCATGAACCGCCGGCAGAACTCCTGGAAGGTGCCCCGGTAGCTCATGGTCCGCAGCGAGCGGTGGAACTGGTAGTAGGACACCACCAGGTCCTTGGGGTTGCGCGCCATGTAGATGACCTGTGGGCGGCGGGGGTTGAGGACACCCTCCTGCCGGGCAGGCTGCCCCGCCCCGGGCTGGAGGTCACACTGTGATGCTGGTAACGAGGTCACAGGCCTTGGGAAGGTGCCACCCTTGCGGGAGTGAGCCCATCAGGAGAATGGGAGCCGGGACTCCTGCCTTTGGGGCACACTTGATGCACAGTCAGAGGACCCCTGCTAACAGAGGTGGGACACCCTGGACCCCTGACCCAGACACCCGGGCACGCAGAAGCTCTGGGGATGCAGTTACCTTGGAGTCGCCGTCGTGGAGGTCGGAGGGCAGGAAGCGATAGGGCAGGTGGCTCTTGATGAGGCGGGGAGACGTCAATTCCTGCAGGAGTTGGCAGGGAGGTAGGTCTGGGGGGGTGTGGCCATCACCCCTCCTCAGCCTGAGGAGTGCCCTCTCCCAGCCACAGCAATCTGCTCAAGACCAGAGCTGCTAATTGCCCTAAAGTGGCCAAGAGCGGCCACCAAGGAGGACCTGAGACCTGAGGGCTGCCAAGAACTGCCATGCAGGCCCAGCGCAGCCTTGGGACAGCCACAGTCTCCAGCCCCCGCCTGCGCTCTCTGCGTCACCCGACCCTCCACACGCAGCAGCCAGGGTGACCCCCAGGAAGCACCGGGCTCCCATGCTTCCAGCCCCTCCACTCAGAGCCCCCTTCCCTGACACCATGGGAACAAGCCCAGCCCTCCCCAGGCTGAGAGGACTTCCCATGGCTGTGACACCTTGATCCCGGCAGCTCCCTGCTGCCAGAGGCCAGGCCTCAGCACAGCTGCACGGCAGTCTGTGAGCGGCCCCCACGGGGCACAGTGGAGTGGCCATTGAGGTGCACCCAAGAAGCGGGGTGCAGGACCAGCTCACTCAGGAGGGGAGCTGCACAGGGTCCTCCCACCAGAACATGGGACAGGGAGGGGTGCTCAGAGCTGCTCTCCGCCCAGGCAGGCGCAGTCAGGGCAGCGCCAGGGCTACAAGGGCCTTCGAGGGGAGCGCGGAGGGGCAGGGTGACCACAGGGCTCCGGAGCACGCTTTGAGTTACTCCTGATGCCAGATATTTGACGACACACATCCAGCCCCCTCCTGAAACCCTCCCCAGTTCCCTGCCACTCACAGATAAAGACCCAAGCACCTTACACAAGGCTTCTTGGGAAGCCCCTACCCACCAGACGGGTCACCTGCACCCCAATCAGAAGCCACAGTCATGGTCCAGGCTTGGGCCTGTCAGTGGCTCTGCTAGCTATCTGGGGCTCCCCGTCCTGTGCCCACATAGCTCCTGAGCCCCTCCAGAAGGTGGAATGCTGGGGTTCCCAGGGACTGGCCGGGGGCCGGGTGCTGCCCCCGGTACCTTGATGATGTCCAGGCCGGGCTGTGGGTACTCCAGCACCGGGAGCTGCTCGTCGATGTTCATCAGGCCGATCTCATCGGGGTCGGCGCCCTGGCTCACCAGGTAGACCACCTCCTGAAGCAGGCTCGTGCCTACAGACAGAGGCCGGGGCTCAGAGGGACTGGCCCAGCCCCAAGGCGGGTGACAGTAATGGCCAAGGGTCGGCCACAGCCCATGCCCCAAGCCGCCCAAGGCCAAGGGGCCTCTACTTGAGGGGTCTGGCAGCTGGAGAGCATCAGAGCTGTTGCCTGGTGCCACCCCTTAGAAAGTGGCAACAGGGGTGCACCGGTCCCTGCCGGATGAGGGGACCTTCCCCTGGGAAGAGCGCACACTTCGGGCTCTGGGCTCACGGTCCCCAACCTAAAACCCTTCCCAGCTGTCTGCTGTTCACAAATAAAGGCCCAATTACCCCAGGCAAGACCTGAGGCCCCACCCTGGCCTCTGCCTGCCCATGCTTCCAACCGCAGGCATCTCCGCCACCAGCCTGCTGCCCTGGAGCCCAGGCACCAAGGCCACTGAAGACCTGCTTCCTACTCATATCCGTGTGCCTGGCCCCTTGCTGAGCCCTGGACCCACCCACCCTGCTGCACATAGCAGCCCCAGGCTGGCCAAGCAGCTCGGCCTACCACAGCCTACCAGGGCTACTCTGGGCACATCATTCACTTGGGTTCCCTTAGACCAGGTGGGTGATGGTGGGACTGAGGGAGCTGCCCAGAGCAAAGGCCACACTGCTGACCCCAGCCTGTCCAGGACCCAAGAACATGCTCAGCCCCACCCAGGCAGGTCCTGGTCCCCAGGCCCCCCAGTCACCACCTCCTCCCATGAGCTGAGTCCAGTCCTCCCTGAGGGCTCAGTAAGTCCTTGGCTGTCCCTCCTTGCCACCCAGGGGGCCTCACCCCGCCCACCCTGCAGCCCCACTCCGAGAACTCCAACAGGTACGCCCTCCGTTGCCACCATCGGGTATAGCCAGGAGGGGACACCTCACCTGCTTCCCACAGCACAGCGTCCTGGGCCCAGACACAAACGTCAGGCCACACCGCTGCCCACAGAAAGCCCTTGCACGGCCCAACTCTAGATCTGTCAGCCAGTCCACACTGGCCCTCTGGCCTGCTGGTCAGTGCACTCACCAGGCCCCTGCCCAGCCTGTCTTCCCTCCCTCGCCCCTTCCCTCCCTCCCTCCGTTCTTCCTGCCGTGCAGGTAAATGTCCCAGTGGCTCCTTCCCAGACCACCACTGTTGCCACAAGGACAGGGGCCGGCCCTGTGCAGCAGGACAGCCAGGTCGTCACCGCTCCCTGCACACCCCCTGGTCACAGCAGTCAGGGCGCCACCCAGAGTCCACTGGGGCATGGCACTGAATCGAGGCCGAGAAGCTCTTCTCGGCGGCGCAGGGGAGTCTGGGCCAGGCTGCGGAGCCCTTGGCATCCGTGAGCTGGGCACCACCATCCATTACAGGCTTCCGAGGCCCAGCTGTGCCAGAGGTCTCAGAGTCGGGGTGTGGCTGACATACTGCTCCTCTGGGTGGGCATCAGGGCAGAAGTCTCTCCAGGTGACATCGAGATCCTCTGTTCTAGGTGGTCCCCACCCCCACTGGTGCCACCCACAGCCCTCCAGGCCAACAGCCCAGAGGAGCTTCTCTGCAGACTAACATCTTCATCCGCTCACCCACTCCAACCCCACGCTTCCTCCATTAAAGGTTTAGCTGGAAGATACCACCTCGAGGGAGTCTACAGGAAGATGCTCTTGACCTGCAGACCCCCAGGGCCTCGCTCCAGTCCCTCCAGGTCCCTGCTGCCTCAGCACCTCTGTATCCCACCTTCCCAGCTGCCAGCCTCAGCAGAGGCCAACCAGGGCCCCAGGTAAAGAGGGGAGCGGACAGAGGGGGCAGGGCTAGGACCAGGCATTGGCTTCCCTAGGGCATAAAGCCAGCAGGCAAGACCTGACCAAATGACCAAAGATGATGACCTAGGGACAAAACTGATAACCACCTGCTCACCGGCCCCCTTCCGGGCAGGCTTCTATGCACCCCAAACCCAAGACCCAGTGTGGCTCCGGAGCCAGTCAGCCTGGCCTCTGCAGGAGCTTCTGCTGAGAGCCTGCAGAGCTCTCCCCGCTCTGTATCCAGCTGCCACCACCTGTCCCTCACCTGTCCACTACACAGCCCGCCCAGTCCTTCTGCTCCTGCTGGCTCCCTGTGCCCAGGGCTCTTGTGACTCCAGCAATGGAGCCTTGCAGGGGCCCCAGCTCTAGCAGGTCTCCTCCTGCCCCCTGAACCCACAGCCCATGGGCCTCAACACATCTGACCAGCCTGGACTGGACCTGGGAGTCCCTGCCCCCAGGAAGCCTTCCCTGGCACCCCAAATCTGGATTGGAGCCCTTCCTGACCCCTTGGGTCTAGAACGCCTGGTTCTGTGTCACCTAGTACCTGAGTGGAGGAGGCCTGGGGAAGGCAGAAGCTGGTCACCTGAACCTGGAACAATGGGCACGGGGCACGGTGCCCCTTTCTGAAGACTCCTACTCCTCTCCCGGGCACCTGGAATGCTGGCCACCATGTGGTCACAACAAGCCTGTGATGCATCCTCCACCCTCCCCTGGCATGTCAAGCCCCTGGCAGTCCCAGGAAAGATGTGTCCCAAGCTCTGAAGCACAGCTCTGTGCACCTGTGTTCTGAGCCCTCGAGCACGGGATGGGCCCCCCACAGGGAGCCTGCCGCCCACTAATGGACAGAAGTGGTAGGCAGCTCCTGCGGCAGACCTCACCAGAGCCTCACAGGGAGGGAAGGCTGGGAACCTGTCCTGCCACTGACAGGTTCCAGGCACAGGGGGTCACAGCACAGGGTCAGGGATGGGCAGTGGTGCCACACAGCATCGGGGGCCCAGATTCCAAAAGGGTCAGGTGGGGCAGGAGCAGGCAAGGGCAGAGGTCCTCGGAGACCCATCAGCTGCAGCAGCCCCAGGACAGAATGGGCAGGGACACCCAAAAGGTACCAAGGCAGGTGCAGGTCGCAGAGGAGAGCGGCAATGCGCCGCAGATCCCGCCTCTGAAAATCTGGCCTGCTATACACACTGCAGGGCCCCCACGCGGGCTAAGCCGGTAACTCAAGCTGCGAGGACCCTGCGCATGCGCACAACCAACGCCAGCACCGTGGACACAGCCTGCTTCCGCGACCTACTAGCGGCACGCAGGGCGCTCTGACCCTGCCCCACCGCCAATTCTGCAGGAGCTGTCCAGCGAGTCTGGGTGCAGTCTGTCAACCCCCCTGGAGCGCTGCAATATCCCCCTGGAACTGGGCAGACGCAAGGCACGTTATTCTGGGGCCAGAGGCAGTCAGAACCGGGCCTGGAACATGAGGTTCCCTGTGACTCTGTGTATATTATTTACCAAAGTCAGGCTCGCGGCAGTGTGAAAAGCCGGAGTCCTGCCTGGCACAGAGCAGAGGCCCCCAGGCCCCTCCTGCTGGGCCCGGCCCCCAGGGACACAGCCTCACTCCCCTCATCCCCCAGCCTCCGAATGAGGAGCTGGCGACTTTACTCAGGATCGGAGCAGCTGAGGAAGACGAGGATGCAGCCGGGTGCTTCCCTAGACACATGCGTGTGCATGCGACGCACAAACACACACACACTCTTTCCCCTCCGCATCACCGGGTAGTCACGGCACGAGTCCAAGCTGGGCCTCTCTGAGTGCTTTCTGGGCTCCCCGTGGGGGACCACACTTCCTGCCCCTTCTGTCCTGGGCAGACAACCCCACTGTTCACCTGCCTGCTCGCCCGCATCGCTGCTAAGGACCTGAGTCTTTAACAGACGAACCCTGCTGGACAGCAGCTGGCCTCTCCCTGGAGGGCCGCCTGAAGCCTGGACCGTGCTGAGCCTGGTAAGGTGCCTTTTCCTACCCACACCGATGGGAAGGCTCACTGACAGGCGCCCTGAGAGACTAGGGAGCGGAACAGAGCCCGAGGGCTACAGCACACTGCAGAGACCCGAGGGCATGCGCCTGCTCGCTCCGCTCTCCTTCATTCCAGGAGCACTGAAACCAGGGTGAGGGGGCCCCTTACCCCTGGGGACCCGCCCCACCTCCCCATCCCCTCCGGTGACCCGCCTGTTACCCACCACAGACACACAGCGCCCGCTATCTTCCTGGGCCAGCCTGGCCTTGGATGGGCGGGTCTTCACCTGGACTGCGCCTCTCTGGCGCCCCTGGTGGTCGGTGACAGGCATGACGGCGGCGTCTCGCTTCCCGCTAGACATCCTCCTCACCACCACCTCCGGCTGGAACACCCGGAGCCCCGGTGCAAGGCTGCTAAGACCCAGCCCTCCACAGCTCCTGAGCTTCGGTGTTCTCCTGCCTCCCCCTTACCACTAGGATTGAACCCAGGGCCTTTGCACTGAGCTTCGTCTCCACCTGTATTTTTACTTTTTTATTCTGAGACAAGGTCTCAATTGCTGAGGCTGGACTGGAACTTATGACCCTCCTGCCCCAGCCTCCCAGAGCACGAGGATCACTGGTGTGCACCACTGTGGCGCAGGGCCACGGCGGCGCGGGCCTCAGCACTGTCTCCTCCCTGCTGCGCAGGGCTCTTGGAAGGAGGGACTCTTCTATGGAGCTCAAGCCCCACACCTGAGGCCCGGAAATCCTGGCTCCACCCACTATTCTCTTCCCCACTCTCCGTCCTCTGTCTGGGACTCTGAGGTCAGTCTTCTAACCATCTTTTTGCCCCTATTTGCCACTGTTCTGTGAAAACTTGTTTTCCAGGGTATTTGCTCAGCCTGACACCCACACTTTCCCATCGAGGGCCCGGGCTCCAGCTCCCGTTGCCCTGCTCCTGACCTCAGGGCCCTTCCCTCCTCCTGCGCTCCTGGGCCAGGGTGCCAGGGTGGTCCCCACCCCTCCCTGGGCTGAGGCGGAGAGGGTGGGTGTGGTCTGACTCCCCTCCGTCCTCTCCGTGTCTGTCTTTGTCTGCAGGTCTCTGTGCTTTGGCTCCAGACCTCCCTGCCTGGCCCAGCTCTGGGACACATGGGGTGGCAGGGCAGTGGGACCCATCAACTCAGAGCCATAAGGGTACATCAAGTCCCAATCTGTGCTCTGGAGACAACAACC